CGGAGGAGAGGCGGAGGTCTGTCACGGAAGAGAATCCGGCACAGGAGTCCTCAGTTCGCCCCCCACAGGACCACGGAGAGACGGAGGAGGGTTCATATTTTTCGGTCATGGGGTCAGCTCGTCTGAACACCTCGCGAGAGACGTCTACATCAACGGCGCCGACCCCCAGAAACTACTCCTCGACGAAGGATCTCTCACCACAAGGTCTACCCCAAGGATGGCGCGTCGTCGAGAAGGTGCAAGAACGGGAGGACGGCAAAGGAAACGTACACATCACCAAGACTATCACGACTTACAACGAGAGTGGCGAGGAGGTTGGTAAGCAGACGGAGAGACAGTCCAACTACACTTGGTCGGCGAGCTTCTCGACCGGCGGCTACAAAAACAGGGGCCGTGACCAGCGAGAGGACGATGGTATTGAGGACAAGGGCAGCTGGTTCTGGAAATGAAGCTGGATATTTTGGGTCTTCTCTGTTTTCACATCATGGCTTGGGGAGTTTCATTGGGTTGTAACTGGGCTGGGAAACGAATGGAATTTGTAAGAAAACGCCGAACCAAGGATTTTATTTGTGTACAGGTCGGGCGAAAATTCAACTTTCTGGAAAGTCAAATCCAACGAGAACACATTGTGCGACAAACAAATCTCTTCTGATGTAACAAGACTCGCTACTCTGACTCGTATTACTTGGCAGCTGGAGATGTGTAACCTTTCGAGGTCCATGGTCGAGGGCTTCAAGTCTTCTTTGACAATACATGACATCTTTGCTTTGCTAGTTGCAGGATCAATATAATTAGGATCTAACATTCAAGTGAAATTACACTAAAGAACAGCCACAGTACAATGACAGGGCATATGTCTCATGGCCCAAAATTCGTTGGCAACCTCGGTGGACAGGGTAACTTGACATTCGAATTGGGTCTGTGATGTGTACTCAAGACGCTTATCAGGATCGCTACAACTACACCAAGTATCGACACCTGCAGACTCACACACAAACTATAACGGGACCAGAGTCACCACCTGGAATAAGCATTCTCAGATAACCCATTCCATCACGATTGTTGCCCTTTTACAGGTGAGATGAATACACTTCTAGCATCCTGTCTTTGCGAAAAGTACATAACCACAACTTGGTCCGGTATTGCTTATCATAGTTGACGCTGTTCGTCTCCAAGTGCTGCGCTTCACACAACCAAGGCCGTAAATCTGGACATCACCTAGCTTGTTCCATTCGACCATATAGAAGGGTCACGGGACACTCATCAGTCACATTTCACCGGCTGTGGGCGTGGATGGGCCGTTCCAGCTCTATGAAAGCGACGCCGGCCCTCGACTGCTCCCGACAATGGCAACGTTATGAAAGCTTCAACATCTGTGGCCGCGTTGTGTAAACTACGCTCAGAGGTAGACAAAGTACCAGTGTTTATTGGCCTGCGCTTCCTTCAGAGGCTTATTATGAGAAGGTTCCCCATTCTAGGTTGACTATTGGTGCTTATCACAGCTCACCCTTATGAAGCATTTCTTAACACAATCTCTTTGGATGTATATACATGACCATCTGAGTACCTTGTTATTGAGGGATAAAATTCTTTGAAATTTACAAGTACAAGAATATAGTTTTGATAAAACAGTATAGTGCCTACCTACCACTTAACTTAATATGCTTTATTAAGCTTGCCATGAGAGAAGGATGACTGTACTGCTGACTGCTTCCCATCGTGTGCACAAGCATCAGAAGCTTCATATTCTGAATTAGTCTGTTTCTTGACAGTGCTTTGAACTCGGTCTGACATCGAGGAGGGCAAAACCTTCCCCAATGGATCAGTAGGTCCTCGCCCCTTTCCGGATACTCAGGGTTCATGCAGCTCGAGCGCTTTCTTCGAATCATCACGTCAGTACCCTGGTCAACCTTTACGCATGACTTAGTCTGGATGACGGAAAGAGTAACTAAGTTTTCTAAAGATCGGTGTTTTATCTTGCCATTCCTTCTTGAGGGCGGACACCCAATCTTCGACACCATTCGTCCCCAGCCAGTCGTCCACATCTCGCCTCTCCTAACCCAAACAGCCGGCCCAAATACCAAAAGTCTCATTAGCTCTCATGAAGGATTTTCTTTTTGTCACAGGGCACCATCCTTGGCGTGATGGACCCAACGGAAATTCAAATCCTTCCAAAGCCAGACAGCCGATTAAGTTTTCGAAGAAAAATCTCGCGAAGAGATTCTCTCCACCCCTTTTCCGTCGTCTTCATGTTCGATATGTAAAGGGGGGGCGGGGGGCGTTTATACTTCACGAAGGTTCTTATGCAGCTAATTCCCGTCTCTCCATTCTATCACGCCACACATTGGACCGAAACTTATCATAGGCGATTCGCAATGAGCAAGTTTCCTACATGGCTAGCAACGCTATCTAACAAACCACCGAACGCTTCACAAGCCTCTAGAACCCGAATCAACGGCACAAGTGGCACACCGAGCCTTCCCTCTAGACTCTAGCCACCTTAGCTCTCCATCGCTCCCTCGTTCCCGCGAAGCCAGCCGGTCCTCCCCGTGATGATCCGATGTTTACGGTTTACCTAGTCACCCAAAGTAAGGTAGGAAGAGATAATAAAGCCCTTCCGAACACACACACGCACACCAAAGGGAGGTAGAATGTACCTTGCACTATACAATGCAAGCTTGGGAAGCCGTTGCCAATAATCAGGTGTTCCGGTTCACCAAGTTCGGTTTCGCAGTTGAGGGTGTCGTGCGCAAGAATATCTCGTCATTTCCACACTAAAGTAGTTTCCAGCAAAGGAGACCAAGACTACTGTAAGTAAGTAATGAACACCATCGCCAACCCAACCAACAGAAACCCTCGGAGAATCGGAAGGGAAACAAAACCAAGGCGGACGGACGGGGGAGAAGGAGCCGGCGTCAAACTGTCAACCGGTTGATTCTAATCTCTTCTCTCCCTCCTCCAGAGGAGTCCAAGACTCCCAGACCACATACCCTACTAGTAAGCCAACGCTCGGCATTAGCGTGTTTTCCTGTTTCTCCACGAGCGGCCCCCAAAGCACCGCAGACGTAAGTTGAAGCGGTCTAAACCAAAGTCAGATAGTTCAAGAAATGTCCCTCAGGGGGTGGACTGCGGCACACGATCAATCAATACCCTCTCGCTCTCCAAAGAAGATCCACGCAGGAAGCTCATGCATCTATCTCGGCTTCTTCGCGGCGCAAGAAAACCTCGGTGGGATGCTGCGTACGCAGCATGTGAAGCCACGGCCTAGTTTTCAAGTCCTGCTAGATGTAGCTAAATTTCTCTGGTCATGAAACAGCCCAAATATCGAGCAGGATCGTCACAAAGTCCCCATCACTCGGCACCACTTTGCCCCCTTCATCGAGACGCCATTGGCGTTGCCTCAGAGTAAGACATTCCCATCGAGCTATCTCGGGGACAGCTCCGATGGAATCCCTGAAGAAGAAGAACGCGGGTTGCGATATCCGTACGGAGTACCTACCACCGAACCAGTACCACGACTCTAAAGCACACGGAACAGGCGAACAGACACAGCCTACTTGACAGCTATCCGTGGACCCGCGGTCTACATTGACTTTGGTCCAGCAGCTTTTTAGGCTGTTAGTTGCATGGTGGCGCGGCGGGCTTGCGTTAGTCACGAGGCTACGGGTACCTTAGCAAAGCCCAACAGTCGTCGTTGAGACGTGAGGGGGGGCCACAGACCGGAAGTCACATTATGCGGGAAATTCCCTCTCAAGTCGTCTCATAAGAGCTGTTCTAGCTCAGGCGGTTCTTCAGTCACGTCTCTCTCTCGTATCGCCAGACGCTCCCCAAGAAGAAGTGGCGGCGGGCAACAGAGAGCTTCAAGCTCCCGCAACTGCTAGTCTGCCTCGTGAGTTGTTGGCCGAACTGGCAAGGGCCCGTTCAGCGGCGAGCAGCAGGGACACCGTCCTGATGCCGACGACGAACCCCATCGACAAGATTGCGGGCCAATTTCCATCGCGATAAAAAGAGAACACGAAGATGCAATCCTGGACATGTCTGTCGATGGTGGCTTGCCCACTTAGAAAGGGCCCCTCACCCCCCGGCTTCTCCCGCATCCCAAGCCAATATCCTCCGAATTTGGGGCGGACGATCCATCGAATTTGGCCGAAACAGGTCGATCCTTCGCATGGGGGACGTGAAGGGGAGTAGAAGCCTGAAGGGAAGACTGTTCCGCCCACGCCGCGCTCCAATAGTTTTCCTCGACCCCGGCGATGAATGCCGGCAGTTGCGCGAGCAAATACGGCACCAACATGCAAACACAACATTCTCTGTTCGGGTTCCCCATCAACGACACGACCGGCGTCGTCTTCATTGTCTGTGCGGGGGGCTCGAATAGTTCAGCCAGTCTGTCCGTCAGTCTGCCTGCGAGCGGGTTTTGGGCATCAAGCCGTCCCGAGACATACAATTCGCCAAACACCAACGGGCCGGATGCGCACGGCCAGAGTTCGGGCTGTCAAGGGTGCCAGGGGGATTTCGTTGGTTGTATCCGACAAAGGCAGACCCCAAGCAAGTGTGATATCGAATGAGATCAGATATCAAGATGACCCTGCAGGCCATTGTCGACGTCGTCACCGCGTTTGTGTATATGCAGTACGTATATTCAAACGCTCTCGCATCAGATCTGCTCTGGGAACATCCATAGGCCAGCACAGGGAACAACGTTGGTGGCGTCAGGTCCAGATCGGGCGGTTTATCACCGCCCGGGATATCAGACACAATGGGGAAGTATCATGAGAGCAGAAAGTGAGACCAGAGAGATAAGAATAGCCGCCGCTGGTTCGACCAGCGTCAGACGTTCAACCTCATGGTCTAGCCTTGGCTGACGACTGACGTGGTGTTGCCCAAGTATTCGTAGAGGACTGCTACTCTAGGGCAAGGATCGACAGACCCGAGTCTGAGCGCCGGCGGAGAAAACTTTTCTCTCCATCCCACAACTACCTCCTTCATCTTTCTGCTGATCACTACCGTCCGAGCGTTAGCGGACAAAGTTTGACAGGACTGCCTCTGGGAACGTTACGCGCTGGTTTGTAGGAGATTGACAAAGAACCTCTGGGTTGTGCCTAGCTCGTCGATGGACCATCCGAAGGTGGGCGTCCGAAAGCCATATGTCGCTCCCGGGATCGACGGCTTTGGGGGCCGGAGGATGCCCGGGTCGTTTGGAGCATCGATGAGCCGGATCCTCTCTGACGGACGCGGCGATAACCTTGGTTTGCTGTCGCATCGCTTACACGCTGCGTCGGCGATGTCCCCATCATCTGCACTCGATAACTCGGTATATATGCCGTCTGTATAAGAAGAGGCTGGTATGCGTCGACGTGATGAAACTCCAACGTGACAGATGAACAGTGTCGGAAACTGCGAGAGACGGACGAGAAAGCGATAGGAAAAGCGCTATAATAGAAAAACTGCTATTGCAGATATGGACTGCTAGAAGCACGGGCAGAACTCTGGGTCCAAGCAACGCGGAGTTTGACAGGGAACATCATTCGATCCGCGATACCACTTCAACGGTCGCCTGTTTCTGGAGAGGGATTGCTTGCCGACAAGGCCTCACGGCGCTCAACTAGGCAGAGCAGATGAAACGACGATCCATTTCTGGAAAGCTGGGCCGCTTGCCATCCAGTGGCAGCATGGCCCGAGTCTGGCTTTCCATTGTGTTCAAGACTCAAAAGCGACAGACTGGATGCAGCCGGACACATCAACACCGGGACTGCAGACGGCACATGAGGAGCCGGCGCCGGTCTGGATAAGCTATCGGGATCTCCCCTGCTCGGGGCGCGGTCGTAATGCGGTTGAAACTCTCGATCGATGACACGATTGCCTTGAAGAATCCTCGCCGTAGTGTTAGTGTAGCACCTCCAGTCTTTGCAATAAGATCGACCGTATTTCTAACACAGCGGTCAGAGGAAAATTAGTCACGTTTGGGTAATCCGCGGACGGCACTGATGAGCCATGGGTGTTGAGAAGTGAGCTGGTGATTGTGGCGTGATGCTGGAAGCATGTTGGGACTTGGGAAGATTGTGGTTACGAGACGACCAGTCGAGAGTCCAAGCTTCTCTGCCAGAATTGACAGCTACCTAATCAAGAGCAGTGAACGCGAACCCGTCTCACCAGCATCTCCCCAGATGGAAGTAGAAGAGAAGTGTGACACTCGGTTCACCTGTTGGTGGTTTGTGCCTGAAGTTGGAAAGGCCTAAGTTTGGTGTAATGATATGTATCCGTACAGAGTATTGTACGATGATTGCTGCCTCGACCTAGAGACTTCGTCCACACTGTGGGATGGGTGTCCTCTGGCCCAACAGAATTGCTGAGGATTGGGTTATTGTATCTCACGGCGATTCCCAGTGGTGATACAGGTATGGAGTAGGTAGAGACTGGCATTTTGGCAATATGCTCATGCATGCACGGCGTAGCGTAGGCCGCGAAAACAGGCCATCTGGCCTTCTCTTGGGCTTCCATGTAAGCTTCGCGGGACCTTGCAGACTCGCAAGGCCGATCAGCACTTCTTTGAGGGCATCGGCAGCACGCAGCTAGCAGTTGGACCGTCACACCGACTGACGAATCTGTCGTTAGCTTATGCTGCTGCAACGATGTGCTCGATGCCTAGCTGTGGCACAGTGCAGGGTCATGTATCCCAGCGAGTCCTCCAGGGTACGCGGGGGTTAGGACTGAAGCGGCGGCCATTACACTGTTTAACTCCATCGTTTTGCATTACTAGAGGATTGCCGCAGTACATGTAGACGCTACCCTGCCCTCGAATTCCGCACTGTTCAACCTCAACCCTTTTCTCTCCCATCCTTTCCTCCATTCCACCCTCTCCCTCGTCAAGGGATCGCCAGAATCGCAGTTTCGACAGCTTGTTGGTAGGCTGGTGTTACTGTCTGGAGGTAGGCAACCCACTCTTGTGCGTGGGCGCCGGGAGTCTTGCCATCGCGGAGATGGCGGTGGATGTGCCGGAGCACTCGAGAGAGCTTTCTGATGGACTTCCAATGCTGTCTAAGGCGATTATCCTCGAGCTGTAGGAGGAAGCCGAGGCGCCATATCG